ATTCCTGTCCATCTCTTAATGCCTAATTTAAATGCCACCTCCTCCTTAAAGCCTTCCCTGACTCTTTACCTTCACTTGACCTGTTGGTGTCAGCCTTCTCTTTGGGCCACATAAAGCATTATTACCTGTATTACTCTGTATTAGAATTATTTGCTATTTTGTCTTATCTCTCTACTACTCTTTAAAATCCGTGAGGGCAGAGACTGTGTACAATCTAAATGTTTCTTAATCAAAATGTATTATCTGAATAAATGACAGCTCTCTGTATCATTCAATCAATTAGCTTTTATTAAATACTTCTTTTGTGCCAATTATTGTGTCAGGCACTGAGGATACATAAGGACAACAATAAAACTCCCTGTCCTCAAGGATTTTATATTCTATTGGGGGAAGAATATGACATAAACTATGTCCCCCACCTCATTCTTGGTGGTCTCTAATGTCCATTCAAAAGATGCCTAAGCTTCATGTTCTAGGATCATCTCAGGGTTCAGAGTTAGGGCTAGAGTATAGAGGAATATACTGACTCTTGTACATTTATTTCTTTTTTTATCTTTATTACATTAATACATATTTATGGAATTAAAAAAGCAATTCCATAGAGTAGTACAATAAAAAAGATGATTGTACATGAAACTGCAAATCTACTATGCACAACTTGTTATTCCTTTCAGACATACAACATTATCGTGTAAATTTCTTTTTTTCCCCTTTTTTCTACCCTCCCCCACCCTACCCTACATATGGTTATCATTAGACACACACACACATACACACATATACATATGTGTATATTATATACATAAAATTATTCTACACATACTTCTATTTATCAGTTCTTTCTCTGGATTCAGATAGTGTCTTTTGTCATATGTCCTTTAGAGTTAATTTGGGTATTTGTAATAATCAAAAATAATATTCACTCAAAGTCATTCTTAAAACAATATTGCTGTTACTATATACAATGTTCTCTTGGTTCTGCTCATTTTGCTCTTTATTATTTCATGCAAGTCTTTCCATGTTTTTCTAAGATCATTGAGCTCATAATTTCTTATAGCACAGTAATATTCTATCACAATCATATACCATAACTTGTTCAGCCAATCCCCAGTTGATGGACATCCCTGCAGTTTCCAGTTCTTTGCCACCACAAAGAGAGCTGCTATAAATATTTTAGAACATGTGGGTTCTTTTCCTTTTTCCCTAATCATCTTTGGAAATAGATCTAGTAGTGGGATTGCTGGGTCAAAAGGTATAGGTAGTTTAATAACTCTTTGGGCATAATTCCAAATTTTTCTCCAAAATGGTTGAATCAGTTCACAAGTCTACCAACAATGAATTAGTGTACTAATTTTTCCACATCCCCTCCGACATTCATTGCTTTTCCCTTCAACCATTTTAGCCGATATGGTAGGTGTTAAATGATATCTCAAGATTAGTTTAATTTGCATTTCTCTAAACAATAATAATTTAGAACATTTTTTCATATGACCATAAGTTTTGATTTCTGCATTGGAAAACTGCCTGTTGATATCCTTTGATCATTTATCAGTTGGGGAATGTTTATATTAATATATTAAATAAATATTCTGTATTTATTTCAGAAAAAAGTTGCAGGCATATATGGGACCTGTGATTTCATTGGCGTAAAGAACTCTCTGTGAGGAGTTTTTGTTTTTGTTTTTTAGCTCTGTAATATAAGATTTAAAAGTGTTCAGTCAAAGAGTGGGTAGCATTCTATGATCTGAAATTCTGTGGAGGAGGTCAGCCCAGTTGGAATGAAAAACTCTTAGGGATGGAATTCTGAAGGCACTAAGAAAAGCAGCTCCTATGAGGCTAGGTCCAATGGAAAAGGAGTGGAATTTATAGTAAAACAAAAAACAAAAAACAAAAAAAACCCATGGATTCCAATCCTGACTTTGCTTCTTACTACTGATGGACCCTGGGGGTTGTTGTGAGGATCAAGTGAGATGATATTTTTAAAGTACTTTGCAAACCTAAAAGTGCTAGCTAAAATACTATCTCTTGGCAAAAGCTACAAATCAGAGTGTGATTTATTCTTTTATTGTCTAGGCTCAAGAAAATAATAGGGCAAATTAATACGGCTGATTAAACTTAAAAGTGAGTTATGTATGTTTTTCTCTCCTGGACATCTGGTTTTTAAACATTTACCATCACACCCCCCGACTAAAGGAAATGTAAGAATGAAGATAGGGTATCTGAACTGATTTAGGTATTGAGGTTAGTATGTTTCCTTCTGATTCTGTATACATTAAATTCATCTTTTTTTCCTTTGTTTGAACCATTGTTGAACATATCACCTTTGTAACATTAAAATTTCAATGCTATTTTATTTTAAGCTTTAAAAACTTAAAATTGCACTTAAAGTCGGGACACAGGACTGAAAAGAATAACCAATGAGGGATGAATTTTCAAAATAAAATATTATGAGGTACATCACTAATATTTCAACTATTACTTAGAATCATAGAATTATAAAGCTGGAAGGAATTTATATATTACCCAATCTTCTCATTTTTACAAATGTGGATGTGAAGCTTTCATCAGTAACGATAAACAACTTGCCCAAAGTCATACCTTGAGAACTGGAGGTAAAATCCGATTTTCCCGATTTCTCATCCACTACGCTCTGTGTTGTAGGGGTGTGTCAGACTTGTATGAGAACCTAGGTCTTGGCTCAAAAGCAATATCAGAGATTGGGATGTAGAGATGAGAAAGAAGTGAAGGGAATCAACTCACCATGAGTGATGATTAAATGAGATAATTGAATATGAAAGTGTATTGCAAAGTGATAAAGCAATGATTCTCTGTAACTATCCAGCTGGCTGATTGAAGCAATCATAGAATTCAATTTACAAAATCTAAAAGGTTGGCATTTTAATTGTTTTTAGGGTGTGTTGAGTTAGGCTGAGCTTCGCTCACTGACCTTATTCTTCTATCTGTCTGTCTGTCTGTCTGTCTATCTATCTATCTATCTATCTACTTACTTATTTATTTATTTAGCCAGGCAATTGGGTTAAGTGACTTGACCAGGGTCACACAGCTAATAACTGTCAAGTGCCTGAGGCAGGACTTGAACTCAAATGCTCCTGACTCCAGGGCCAGTGCTCTATCCATTGAGCCACCTAGCTGCCCCTTGACCTTATTTTTTTAATGTGACTAATTGTTGAAAGGCATATATCCTTGAAGGCTTCTACAAACTAATAGAATCCATTCTTTAGAGCTTTTTTTTTCTTTTAAGAATTCCTCGTTAACTTCATCATGCTGTAGTTGAACTGCTGGGCATAGGTAAGGAGGTTATGGGTAAGGGTAAGGAATTTAGGTTTGCCTCACTTTAACATACCCTGATGTACAAAAAACAATTGAAGAAGATTTATTTTCCTTATGAAAGAAGGCAGTAACTTATAACTACTGTGATACTCTCTGAGATGGGTATTTAAGACATTAAAACATGAAGCATTTTACCAGGACTGCTGAATCAGCATTTTGCCTTCAAGTGAACTGATACTCCCCTTAATACTATCTTCCTCAAGGCTCACATCCTCTGGTAAGCCAGGCCAGGTTTTTGTCTTTCCCTGAGAATCTTCTGCACTTCTCCAGAGATCTTTCTCAGATTAGACCCACCCCGAATTATCAGTCCCCTGTCCATACCCTCCAGGCTATACCTTTACTAACTCCTATCTCCTCTAAGTATAGCTTCTAGGGTCTCACAGGACTCAACATCTCCAACTGTTATATATGTAAACCTTGAAGAAAAATCAAAACTTCCCTCAATGGACCTCTTTCCAGCCACTGATATTTTGCCTGCATTTTTTCTCTAATGGACAAAAAGTCAATGGGAATAGGGCTCCAGAGGCAGAGTCAAAGGCATAGTAGGACTGACTGAGCTGGACATGATACTCAGTTTTCTTTTCCCACAGGAGATAAAATGGATCATTTTAATTTCATAAAATCAAAAAGTTTTGTGCGAATGGGGAAAAAAAACCTTTGTAAAAAATGACTTTGAAAAAGGCAAGATATATAGAGAGAATTGGTACAAATATGTAAAAATGTTAAGCTCATTGAAGACAGGGACTATCCTTTGTTTCTTTTTATCTCCAGCACTTCAGGCAGTGCCTGACACACAGTAGGCACTTAGTAAATGATTATTGATTAATTGATTGACTGATACTTTCACCTACACACTGTCTCCCTCAAGGCACATGTCCTCTGGTAAGCCAGGCCAGGGTTTAGACCTCAATTCCTGTTGGTGTTTTGACTTCTCTCGCAAGAAATGACATGGAGAAGTTGTGTGGGGACCCTTTCATTGATTGAAGGATCCAGAAACTCCTGGCATCTTGAATTCACAAGGTTGTTTCCAAGACTAGAAATGTGCATCTCAGGATCAATATTCAATCTCTCATGCTCAGGAAAGAAACGGAAAGCAGAAAAGTCAGCTACTGCTTTGAGATCCAATCTCAGAGTCAGTTAGGCCTGCACATATGCTGAGTGCCAAGTGGAAGCCCTTTGCAGTTTCTGCCAGAGCGGGTGGGGGCACTTTCTTTTCACTACATTATATTTCCTCCAAGGGACATATAAAAATCTCCGAAAGATAAAAAATTGTTGAAATTTTAAAAATGAGAAGCCAATGGAGAATTGAGTTAACTAATTAATTAATTCCTGGCAGCAAGGTGGTACAGAGTGCTGGACCTGGAATCAGGAAGACCTGAATTCAAACCCTATCTCAGACGCTGCCTCAGTTTCTCCTTTGGTGGATAATAATCGCACCACCTTCCAGGGTTGTTATGAGGATCAAATGAAATAATGCTTGTAAAGCACTTTGAAAACTTTAAAGCACTCTATAAGTACTAGCTATTTTTAAAAGACTTTTGCCCTTTCCCAATCTAAAATACAATATGAACTCTAACAAAAAAGTCAGAATAAGTTTTGCTTTAAGTTATGTGTATATTGTGTTCCTCACTTCCATTTTCTTTCTCCAGGCTGGAATGATAAGGACAGATGATGATGAATATTTCATCGAACCTTTGGAAAAAGGCAAGCAAAAGGAAGAAGAGAAAGGAAGGATTCACGTGGTATATAAGAGACCATCAGTCAAGCATGCACCCTTTGACACATCCAAAGACTTCCTGTCCAGAGGTAGGTATCTTTGCTAGACTTTAATTTTCAAATGTAAAAGAGAGGTACTGAAAAAATAATTTCTCCTGAGTTGAAAGAATTTGGCTGTATTCTTTAGAATAAGTAGAACTCCGCAAATAGAAGTAAATAAATTAATGAAGGTATAATGTGCTGAGAGTTCCTTTATTCTGGGTCATTGAATGAACTGTAATATTTACTTAAATAAGACATAGAAAAGCATCATAGCATAACAGCCAGCCATCATCAGAGTAAGGCCTGGGTTCAAATCCTGCCTCAGACAATTATTACCTACATGACTTTGCTGGGGCAGGTCATTTAACCTGGGCCTCAGTTTCCTCATTTGTAAAATGATTTTTAAAATACCTTCCAGCCCTAAAGCTAGGATAGTATACATATTTTGATGGCTAGATAGCTCATTACTTACCTCATTGCTTAAGACAAAAATTTCTTTAGCCTAAAATATGGAAGAATTTGTGCTTTTCAGTTACCTTTATAGAAATATATATTTTATATGTTTCAAAAATCTTTATAACATGCTCCTTTGATAGAAATACATCTTAATATAGCATAGAGTTGATTATCTGTAGTCCAGAATTCCTCCCTCAGCTTTTTATGAATGTTGGGTGAGCCAAAGAACTGAGCGACAAATAGCTATTTATTTGGGGGAGAGTTCAATAAGAACAAGCTTTGGTTCTTTTATAGGTAGTTTCCCACCTCACCCCTCATCTTCTTTCTAGTAAAGTCTGAAAATAGTCATTGATGCTAAGGAGTTATTCTTTTGAAAAATTATGTCCATTGGTTTTCCTTATAAACATGGGATATGTAAATGGGAAGTGAGTATCTCGGTTTCCAAGTATATTTCCTTAGACCTAAAAATTTTTGCATCTAATTGCCATTATGAAGCTTTCTAATTTAAGATTTAAAGGTGAGAGAATCTTTTTTTCTAGGTCTATCATCACAATTCCACTCTTGCTTAGTAGGGACATCCTTAACAATGTTATCCCTTTCAGCTGAAGTTTTTTTATGTCTTTTATTCATTATAGTTATAATTGATATTTAATCCTGGAAGCTGAGACAGACCTACAATATTTTCAAACATTAGTGAGGAAAGGAATTGCTTTACAGGTTTATAAGACTTCCGTGAAGTAGCTGAGAAGTTGTATTTTATTAGTCTAATGCCTACATCTATGCAGTGATTTTTTTCTCTTTGAACAATTCTAATGCAATTTGACTTTTAGGTGATAAAATCTTCACCTCTGACATAGCATATATAAGATATATTTATTTTTTGTTAAAATTGAACACATTTAAGATTTTTGTATTAGTATTCATAAGTGATATTGGTCTATAATTCTCTTTTTCTGCTTTATCCTTTCCTAGTTTAGGTGTTTTGCAAGATACCATGTAATGGTCAGGACTGACTCAAGCCTATCCTCCAGTAGTTTAGTTTTCAGTGTTAAAACGAAAAGAGATACTTGCATGTCATTCAATCTTTCAAAAGCACAGAAAGAATATTCAGCAAGGATACTGTAGCACTTTTCTATTAAAAAAAAAAAGTGTCTGGTTAGCAGGAAAGAGTTGCAATGCCTCCCATGGCCTTAGGACATCCACCAAATCTGAAGGGCTCTGACTACACGTGGATATTTTTAAGCACTTAGGTAACCAGGAAGTTGCATCAATGAAGACAAGACTTGAGCCCTAGCCCCCGGACCAATCATGTCCCAAGGACAGCATTGTTAACTTTTAAGGGGGAAAAACAAAACCAAACCAAACAAAAACTAACCTCGTTTACCTGGTGGTGGGAAGCCTGGTGGGGAGTAATCCTATCACACATGGTAGGGACCCAGCTTCTAGAGGGGCTACTAGCTCAGTTGTTGAGCACTTTTATTGATTATTCTGACCTCCTGAAGCTCACAAGGTTGTAATCTGATCTGTTCCATTTTTGCTACCCCACATAAGATCAGGAAAGAATAAACACACCAGAAACAAAAGAAACAGAAGTAATACCCTGTGTTTACTGCCACCTAACACCGGGATGGGAAGATAAGGCAGAAGCAACTGGAGGCTTACAATAGTTCTTACTTTCCTTGCCACCAGGGACCCAACACTGAAGGTGCCCTCCTCCCTTGTCTGATTTTCCTTTGTCCCCTCACCCAGCTGGGGCATCCAAAACCCATCTGGATTTTTCAACTGCACATTTGACTTGGGTAAGATGGAAGTCACCAACTCTATTCTTTCTGTTTAGATAGAGGAAACAACTTCCATTGCCTCTTAAGACCTCTGGGCCTTTCCTGCAGACCCCTAGGACTGCCATCTGTTCTATTTATGTAATCTAAAGGTCTCAAGCCTTGCCACATCCCTTGCTTCTGAACCTTTTGGATTTCCAGATCATTTTATCAGTCCTGAAGCTTTGATGTGTTGTGTCTACCAATTAGAATATGAATTTCTTAAGAACGGGGACTGCCTTACTTTTTCTATTTGTATTCCTAGTATTTGGCACCTATTAAGTGTTAATAAATGTTTTTTTTTATTCATTCATTCATTTCATTTTTGAATGACATTTATTTTTCTGACTCTTCTTGCGGGGTTTTGTTGACAACATACAGAAAAGTTAACAATATGTGTTTATTTTTATATCCTGTTACTCTACTAAAGTTATTAACTTTTCAACTATCTTCAAGTTTCTCTAAATAAACCATCATGTTATCTGCAACGGCAATAATTTTGTTTCTACTATGTCTATGCCAGAGGTTCCCAAAATTTCTCAGGCCATGGTGCCCTTAGTAATTTTTTCATGGTACCTCTAGGCCAAAAGAAATACCCAACAGTTCTGTTTATTAAGTAGTTATATCCAAACAACTTAATAAGTAGTTATGTTATAACAACTTAGTAGCTGTTTAAAAAAAACATGCACATAAATTGAAAGAAAAAATAATATTTTATTTATTTTTAAATAAGCACAATTATTTACTAATGAGGTGTATGTACCTGTTGGGTACTGCATAATTTCTCAAACCTTGGAATCATATTGGAAACCACTATACTTGTTTCCTGTTCCACATTGACTTTCTTTAATTGTTTGCTTTATATCATAGCCACCTCTGAAAATGCAGTCTCACAAAGACATGGTGCAGCAAATGGAATTAGTATTAGCTGAATTTTAGTGCTTAGCAGAGGGTAGTCATCTGCTGAGATGCAAACCATAGGCCTATGGGAATTCCATAAATTTCTTTACTAGTGGTGACAGTGAGCATTCTTGCTTTGCCTGTGATTTTATTAGTAAGGCTTCTAGCCTTGCCAATCACAGAAATGCTAGCTTGTAGCTTTACATAGATATTCTTACCATATTATAGAAAGGTCCATTTATTTCTATGTTTTTTAATGTTCATAACATAAATGAGTATTGTATTTTGTCGAAAGATTTTTCTGCATTTATTTATATAATTGTGTGATTTTTAGTCATGAATATGTTCTCTTACATTCATAATTTTCCTAATATGGAACCAGCATTTCATTTCTGGTATAAATACAACCTGATCATAGTATATAATATTTTAAATGTTGCTGTAGTCTTTTTGCTAAAAATTTTATTCAGCAAACAAATTACCACCCCAGCCCCATTCATGCCCTTGTATAGTTAAGAGCATGAAAACAAGTATTTTATTTCTAAGTCTTTTATTGCTGACTGAAAGTATGTAATTTTCTATCATTCTGCTCATTTGTATGTAGGCTCTCCTCCTCACCCTGGGTCCTTTGGAAGGAATGATTACAATTCTTATACTAAATATCTATTTATTCTTTTATATTTTTATTTTCTTTGGTTTCAAAGTACTTGTTCATTTAGATGAACCATTTAGATGAACCATTCCTTTCTCCCACCAAATGAGCTTTTATCTGGCTTTATCAATCACTGAGCTAATTTTTGTATGGTATCTTTGCTGAAAATAAGCTTATAGTCAATATTTTTTCCTTTAGAAGAACCAGTGCTATTATGTCTTTTCCCCTAAACTTCTGCCTGTTTTCTGTTATCTATACCCTCCAGCCCCAAATGTTGGACAAGATCTGTTTATGGAAGATGGTGAGAGTGAGCATTGGAGATAATGCTCCAGGCGGATTCTGAATGGCTATTACACAAATGATTGTCTTCATTCCTTAGATTAGCCCCTGGAGCCCTGGCCATGAACGGGTCTAGAGTAAATCCTTTGAGAGCGGGTCCACTGCTGAGAAGGATGCTCTGGGAAGTATTTGCTTTCAGGTCTCTCCCTTCCCTTTCTTTCACTCCTACTGCCTCCTTGTTTCCTCCTGAGCTGTATTAAATCATTGTAAGCAATACTTCATTTTTAGACTTTTTTCTTCTGCTGTCTTGTCACCAGGCTCTACACTTCTCCATTGCACCCCCTTTCCTTCTCAGGCTCAGGTTTGGTCTGGATCATAGGTCTCAACTCAATCTTGTAGTGAAGTTCCCCCTGGGATACTGCCAGGACGGGGCCAGAGGGTGGGCACCAAAAGTAGAATGTCTAAAATTGCCCCAGGCAGTGGGGTTGTGGGTCTTCTTAGGTCAGTGCCAATTCTTTGGGTGAATGAGGTTGCTTTATGTTGCATTAGATAGAGTACTTGGCCTTGAGTCAGGTAGACATGGGTTCAAATCTAGCCTCAGACTAGACTGAGTAGCTGAAATATAATAGATGCCTCTTTCCCTCCCTCCAATCTGAAACCCTTCAAAATCTGTCTCCAGTTTACCTGTCCAGGTGTATTACACATTCCTCTCCCTCACACACTCTACACTCCAGTGAAACTAGAATACTAATTGTGTTGTCCCATAGATGAAATTCCATTTTTTGCGTTTCTACGGTCAGTTCCTTGTGCCTTGAAAACTCTCCTTCTATACCCATGTCCCTGACTCCTTTTGCAGTTTCAGGGGGCTCCTCTTTCAGGAGGCCTTTCCTGATCCCACCCTTTGTCAGGGTTCACTCCCAACCTTCAGAAATCACTTTGCATCT